GAACGTCACGACATTTGTGTATTGGAGTTTTGGTGTCATATTCTGGTAGAGAGTTGTCATAACTACTGAATGGTACGTAATAGGTTTTCTCAAAGTTAATAGATAAGAGCCTGTGGTCGAACCACAATTTGATTTGATGAAGGTCATGTTCTAATTTCTGTTTCAAATTGAACCAGTTTTCTTCTTTGCAAAACAGCACACTATCATCGGCGAAACTCAGAATGTTAGAGTTCATGTCTTGTAGGCAAAGGTTGTTCAAGTAAATATTGAATAGGATTGGTCCTAACACCGTCCCCTGGGGTACACCACATGTAATAATTTTCTCTCCGCTTATATGATTGCCCACTTTAACCCTTTGCTCTCTGCTATAAAGATAACTTTTGAAAAGATTATTCGCTAATTCCCATGTCATTCAGAAGATTCAGTAAGATAGAGTGGTCGACGGTGTCGAAAGCTATCCTATGGTCTACGAAAACAGCAATAGAAGGTTTTGATTTATCCAAACATGAATAAATTTGCTGGTTTATATTTATTGGGTCTTGGGTGGACATATTCTCTCTGAAGCCGTGTTGTGATTCTGACAACGACTGGTGTCTCGGAAAGGTTATTTTGAATAACCTTCCCGAGAACTTTAGCAAGACTAGTTATGAGTGAGATTGGTCTATAGTTTGCTACATCGGTTTTTTCTCCACTTTTATATATAGGCGTTATATAACAGCCATTTTGAGAGCTGAGGGAAAACATCCCTCCTCTAATGACATATTCAATAGATGTGTTAGTGGTTTCGATATATAATCAGACACCAGTTTCAGATACTCTGCTTTGATATCATCATAGCCAGGAGACCTTTTATTCTTGAGTTGCGATATAACATATTTCATCTCGTTTTCAGTTGTAGGTCGCAGAAAAATGGAATGGTTACATACACTTTTCCTTTCGGAATAGTCTGGATTTATATTTCGCACCAAATCCTCACCTACAGAAATGAAATAATTGTTGAATCTATTTGCTATTTCAACCGGGTCCTTGATGAGTTCATTATTTTTGTTTTTATCAAGTTAATAGGTGTAAGATCTTGGTCGGTTGATATTTCATTGACAGTTTGCCACATTTTTTTCGAATCATTACCCCCATTTTCAATATATAGAGCTTCTTCCCTGAAAATACTCCGGTGTGGCTATTGTGGACTTTTCATTTCACATAACGCGAGCTGATACTAACTAGATTCAATATTTATTTTTCTTTTCTAGGTAGAACGATGGATATGTTTTCTTTCAATCAACTAGGCGATCGCGAATCAGCAGAATATCAAGAAATGGAATAAGACCCTGCATATCTGATTGTAGCTTGTTTGATCATACTCGAGAGACGCCAAATTATGGAGGAACAGTCGCTGCTGGATATAAATAAAAATGGGAACCTAATGGGGAACTGGACTCGAAATTTTTCCTCGGAAAACTCGTCTAAAATCATCGAAACCAATCCGCACGAATACTACATCTTTGATAAGGTGTACATAAGAATAATCTTCATATCGCTGTACACTGTCGTTTTCTGCTTGTGCTTTTTCGGTAAGTTGATTGAGATAATTCCGTACTTATTATAGAAAGAATTCGATTTTCCATTCAAATCGTTGAGTTCACACAAATAGACTGTTCAAGTATCAGGAATGTTCTATATTTTATTAATGGAATCGATACTTCATCAGACGCTTATTGGAAACTATGAATGACTGTCTACCAAAATTAGGCCACCACAATTGGAATTAATGAAGACAGTCAGCCTTTCGGAGAATGTTTATATTCACGAAATATGGAATTATCAGTAACATTTCAGGGTTCCGACCTTTAAGGAATAATTTTTTGAATTTATTTGAATTTGATGAGAAAAAAAATATGTGGAGAAAGTTACTTAGAGTTTGTATATTGAAAATAGTATAAACTATTTGACAGAAAAAAAAAACTAATCGATACAGTTTATTGTATGATTTTCACTATAAAAGGGTTTTACGAAAACCGCGACACGTGTTTCGCTATACAATAGCTTCTTCAAGCATAAACTGAGAGTTACTTCTAAATCTCAACCATTTTATACTTTAAACTAGTGCCTACTCGTCTACCTAAATGATGATTCTACCTGAAAAGGTCAGGTATGCATTCATTAACAATGTCAATAAATTTTTCGAAAGTATGCCTGTAAATATACCTAACTATTTTACAGATTCAATAATGGCGAATTATTCCATTCAGTTTGAACGTTCATAAGACAATTAGAGTTTTTGAATTTGTTGATTTCCACACTCTCCAACAGGTTAAGTTTCAAACCTTTCTTCGGAAAATGAAGTGGTTTGTATTCATGGTTAAACTCATGTCCCTCTGGGAAATGACTGTCATATGCGGAATGTATTTTTCCATTCTGAAAACTATATTTGTGTTTCTTTATGCGAGTTTTGAACGTTCTTCCAGTTTGACCTATATAAAACATCGGACATGACCCACACAATAATTCATACACTCCTGATTTTTCAGAAACTGAACTTTTATGTTTGTTATTCTCAATGTGCATGCCTAAGTTGTTGTTGGTTTTGAAAGCAGTATTTACACCTCTGCTGTGCAGAAAATCTGAAATATTTGTAGTGGGTTGGCCTAAGTAGGTTCTACAACTTTTATCCTGTTCTCTTCGAATTGGGTAAACTTCTTTCAATGCTTGACTACATAACTTTTTTGATAATAAAGAATGTATCAGACCGCTATCGTTATCATTGTTGATGGCTATTTGTAATATCTTGAATTTCATTGATTAAATGGTATGAATTCTTCAAACTGAATTTTGATTTGAAATTGGTGTGGTTTTAGATAATTGTGAGTTTTTCGGATATTTTAACTGACGAAACTGTGACGAAAGAAATCACCGGTCTCATCTGGTAGTTGTCTTTGTGCAATTCAATCAACGAATACAATTTAGGTGGTTGTGGGTTCATGACTAACGATCAGAATTTTTCCGTTTCATCCATGCACCACATAAAACTATTTGAACTGAAAATAATATTCATTACATCAAAAACAATACCATAACCAATTTTTTCCAATATTCGTGATTATGATCCTTCCTGTGCTTTATCCAAGCACTGTTGTACGACATGTTTTTTGCCCCAAAATTGTTTTTTTTGTAAATTCATGTTTTTTGAAGAGCTACCCAACAGAACAAGTTTGATAACGAGATAGCACATTACTGCAAGACCCATTTTGAGTGTGAATGTGAAAATATACAGGTACTGGCACACGAAAAAAAATATAAATCAGCACGATATACGTATGAAATGTATTCATATGAAATTTTGTCATATTCAATTTGCTTACACATTACTGAGTAGGGGCAATTATATCTGCCCTTAAAAAACGCCATCTATGGGATTGACCGAAGACTCACTCCTCGAATATCGAAGATGGTCCATTGCAAATTCAAGGTTTTCCTTCAGACAGCTAAGTTCAGCAATGCATTCGTGATTCAGCCGAGCACTTGAAGAATTGTTGAGGGTTGATTTTTATCAATCTCAGGCATAACAAATAATTATCGATACCGCAAATAGTCATCTCCATTTTGTAAATTCCACAATTCTGAGTGTTCGGAAAAAAACTCGCAAACCTAAATGTTAATGTAGTCAAATTACGCCAAAATTAAAAAAAAATTTTTATAAACATCAGCTATGAAATAATTTACACTATACTATACAATGATAAGTCAATTTTTTGAAACCTTTCTTATCTGACTTCGAATTACATATATTTTGGAGCTTTGCAGTTTACAACTTTCGGTATCGATATATTTCCTTTTATATCTGACTAAGAATCTTTCAACCGAGTTTCGTGTTTGTAATGTTGTAAATGGCAGCACTAGCCTACCATAAAAAGATGTAGTTCACTTTTGTCTCCTTGGAAATAGTAGTTTGATAACCTCTGATAGAAGTTTTGTCGTTTCATATCTAGCAAGAAAGCTCTGTAAGGGTTTTTTATGTTTCTAATGTTGAAAATGATGAATGTGTCATAAGATGACCAGCTCCATTTTTCAGTGATGTTTGAAATGACGAAAGTGTCGTAAAAAGGTCTAGCCCCCCTTTCATCCATTTAGAAGTGTCATTTCAAAAAAAAACATTCATATTCTTTGCCTGGGTGTTGTAAGGTGCATTTGTGTCAAATTTGAGCGTTTCATGGCTAGACGTTGATGCATGAGTATTTTTTCCATATGAAAGAAAATTAATGATAATAGCTCAAGTCGGTTTAGCTCCAAGCTCAGATCGATTTTAGGTCAAGCTACAGGATTCAGAAGATGAGGCAAGGCAAGGCTCTTTCAAATCAAGCTCACAAAGCTCGACTTGGCTCAAGTACGCTCCTAGTTCAGCCTGGTATCACTGCTGCGTGATATCTTTGCTGATTCTGTATGTTGGGGGTGTATTTCAATCCAACAATTTACTGATGATATCTCGAATTTGAAAATTCATTGACCTAATTTCAAGATATCTTCAGTATTGAAGCATTATACAGGTTTTAATGAATGTAGAGTTACCACAAAGATAAATGGAGAAATGAGGGCTGTCTTCTTTCAACAGCTTATGCAAAGGTTGCAGTCAAAGAAATACGAGAGGTACATTCCTCCGACTCTCCTGAATTACTGAATATTTCATCGATAAAAATGATGTCATTTACAACACTTCTTGTAGATTGCGACAATACATGATAGTGAAGTTTTTGGTGGAGTCACTTATTCGTTTATTATTAAATTTCAGATTCTATCTCTACATTTTTCTTCTGAAGCTTTTCTTGAAGCTTATCTCCCAATTTTCTCGAAGTTTTGATAGTGATATCAGAATGATGTACCATCCTTGGGGAATCAAAGTGAGAAACACTAAAGTATATTGAAGATTCTTGTTCATCAAATTCATCGTTAAACATGTGCTAGCTACTTCATCATTTTCTACACAGGGAAATTTTCCAGCCTTAATATCTTCCTTTCAGTAAATAATATGAGGAATCGGAAAAACAAGTCAAAGAGGAGTAGATGTTACCCTTAGAATCTTAAATTGGAAAGGGTGTCAAGTAGCACATCATTTTGATTGGCGTTCAATTCTGCTTCTGCTTTTGATGAACAGTTTCCGAAAAATAGCGTTCTCAACTTACACATGTAATAAGAATTTGCCTGTTCTGAGATGCATTATTGTAATGGCTCCTTTTGATGAAAATGGTTAGAAGAGTACAGGTGTCACCGTTCCAACCCTTGAATAACAGGACTGAATGTATTACGGATGGGATTTTTCATTTATTGGTGATTGTTCTTTTACAAAATGAAATTTAATTTGCCAAAAAGACATTTCGAATATAAAAACTACGCACGCTTATATCATAATAAACTCAAAAGTATAAGTCTCTTCTCGAGTTTCCTGTAACATTACGAAAAACTTCATTAGGAATTGACTGGCACGCTGCTGTAATTCGTATTTTGAGTTCTTCCATACCAAAGATTGTGTTTTATAAACAACAGATTTGAGATGCCCCCAAAGAAAGAAATTTGACGATGTTAACTGCGGCGATCTGGGAGACCATTTAACTAGTCCCCTTCTGCCAATCCATCTATCCGGAAATCTCTTGTTTAACCACCTAACCTGGGGAATTACCAACACCAACGAAAGAGGTGAGCACTTACTACAGTTCATCATGGCAAATAACTTGGACATTTTGAACATAGGAAATAAACCTATTTTCGTAAATGCAAGACGTAGTGGAGTGATAGATGTAACGATAGGAACTACATTTGTAAGTAACTATGTTCGGAAATGGAATGTGTCTGATGAGGAAAGTTGTTCAGACCATCGAAACTTTGAAATCTGAGGGATTCAGACCTCGATTCTAACATATCAAAATCCCCGGAAAACAAACTGAGGAGCCTATACGGTGGACCTGGAAACCTGTTTAGAGCGCATGGATTTTGACATCAGAGATTCCATAGATCCAAAGTTGGCAGCAGATCGGTTACAGGGAGCTATCATCTCTACGTATAACGAATATTGTCCCATAGTAAACCACAGATCAAATAGGAATGTGCCCTGTTGGAATGAAGATCTGGCGAAGATTAGACAAAAAACCTAGAAAAGCCTTCAAATGTGCAAGGAAATCAGGTTCATGGGACAATAACAGAAAGTCCCTAACTGAGAAAATCCAAGAGATATACGTGGAGAAGGCAATGTGAGGAGATGGGTCTGTTCGACCATGTGCCAGGCTCTACAAAATACTCTCGAAGGAACCTCAGGTATCAATAAATAATCTGAAAACAAGTACGGGGAAGTATACAAAAACCGGAGAAGATTATATTAGAGAGCTTTTCCGAGTACACTTTCCTGGGTCAGAAATTACAAATCTAACACCGGAGTCCTGGGCGAATTCAGAACTGGAGACCCCGAAAAGAGCATCCAAGGAGAACTGGCAAATGACAAAGAAGGTGATAGATCTGGAGAAAATTAAATGGGATGTTAACTCATTTCAGGTCGCCGGGACCTGATGGCATATATCCAGTAATGCTT